CAACATGACATCAAACAGCATAATATATCATAAAAATAAATGTATGATCTGGTGACTCAATGATTTCTGTCCATATGGCATTTACAGAGAAGTAAAGAAAAGGCAAATAGCTACACATCTGTATCGAGAAAAATATCCTATGTAAAATTGGCCATAGTGACAGCACTAGAAAGCTCTCAGCTGAGATTGCCTGGAAATAAATAACACACAGAAGGGGAAGCAAGGGTCCAACAGTCTTATACGTATCTAGAGTTTTGTACAGTGAGCATTGTGCAGGTCATAGAATTTTCTACAAAAATTACTTTAAGGATGGAGATATTCTACTTGCTGGTGATAGGTCCAGGTTTATAGATGGGTGTGTAGTGCAACTGCATGCAGGGTGATGCAAAAGTGCAATTAGGAAAAAAAAGAAATCTTTGGAAAGAAATGTGACTATCTGTTGAAACTATTAAAATGAATACTGACTCCAAGTCTATTTCTATATTTGCTGAAAGACATATGAAAAAGCCTCTTTGTATAAGTGCTAAGCACATTAAAAATACGGAGAATCAGTTAAGCCTCTAAAATAATAATCAGGGAATTCCATTCATTATTATAGTAAAGGGCATAATAACTTTATGGTAAGTGGGGAAGGGTGGGGGAGAGGTGAGACTGTGGGGGTGGGAACTAGAGAAAGAAAACCCAGAAAGATCCAGAATCAAACACAGCCTCTGTTATTTGAATTTGTTGTTCATTTTCAATGGAGTGATAACTGCAACAGCTCAGCCTGAACCGCCTGGCTCAACACTTCCCTTTCTAAGGAACTTGGATGTGTTTCATAGCTTACATCTGGACAACAGGGTACAGGGGAAAAAGCCACAAGGATAGATCACATATTCTCTTTGCATACTTAGGACTTGAATCTTGTATATAATAAATGTATGCACACACAAAGAAACATATATACATGTAGATGCATACGTTTATATTTAGATAAATACATTTATATTTCTACACACACACATGTTCACGTGTGTATAAATCCAGCTCCACAAAGGATTTCTCCTCTTTTTGCTGTTAGGCTCAGTTCACAGATCTATTTCCCATCTCTCCAGAGATACAAGAAGTTCCCTTCTGGAGTTTTGTTCCTTTTCCCTACCCAAGTTTTCTTCTTATACGGCGTTATCTGAGATCTGGTTTTGTTAATCTTATTACAGGTACAGCTGTAGGCCTCCGAGGAGGTGATAAGGAACCCATTGGACCTGGGAAATGGTACTTTCTGTGAGAGCAGGGAATAAGTTATGAAATCCTTGCCTTTTAGGTCGGCAATAACTTCAGTGAGACCACTTGGTCAATATTGTAGATCTCACTGTATGGCCGTGTCTCATCAAAGTAGTGACAAAATGCATTCTTCCCAGTATATGCAACTGGCTATTATAGATGGTAGAAAAGAACATAGTGCAGAGCCTGTGGGGAGAAGCAGCTCCTGACGGTAAAATAGCAGTACACTGAAACCTCAAAGGAAATTTAAGAAGGCATGGTGTGAGTGTGTGCGTGTATGCATTTAAGTCTGAAGCCAGAGAACTATGAGGGCTATGTGGAACATTTCCTGGAGCTTACCACTAATAAACATGGCGGGATTGTCAGCCCTGCAGTGTCCATACCTTCCTTCTGGGCCCGTGCCAGCACCCTTGCAGTCGTCAGATAGTGCATCCTAACCAAAGGGTAGGAGCTTTTCACTGTATCCTCCTGCACATATTTTATCACTCTTCCAGCTTCATGTTCTCTCTGGCTGAGGAAGGACTTCTTGGTATCCCTGTGCAGTGCCCCCCAGTTGTTTGGATGTCACAGTGCAGAGGACTAGGGGAACTCCATTTTTGCCATTCTGTTTTGTCCTTATTGCTTCAGGCTGTGAAAGGCTAGGAGTAGAAACTAACTTAATCATTTGGTTTATTCACACACTCATTTATTTTGGGTGAACTAAGAGTAAACCACCAACTGTCGTATCCCACAGTTTATTCAAATGGCATGTATAGAACACAATTGCAAATAACAACCAGTTCCTTTGTTGCCCTGCTCTGTCATGCTTTCATTGTGAAATATTTCTTTTTTTTTTTTTAAATTGGGCTCATCCCATTCTCATACACAGAAAATCCCCTCTGCCACCAAAACATTTTGCATATTATGGGCCACATCCCAAAACCCTTCCAGTCAGCTGGCGTCTCTTCATTTACCTCATTTGGACATAGATCAGTCCCTCTCTGTATATATGTATAACTGAAATGCAGCCTTTTCTGGAGCAGGTTGGCAGCATTGGTGCTATAGGCATCATTCCAGTGGAACGTATAGCAGCAGCACCGCAACCTATAAGGACAGACACAACCTGGAGGACAGACAGGACTTCAAACTTTAACACTTCCTTCCAAACTACTCCAAAATTGCATTAACATGAATATGTCTCTCTTAGAAGAATAAAAGATTTAATTCTGTTGCTCCAGGCAACTTTTAAACCTAATACTTATGTAAGTAAACTGTCCCCTCTAGTTTTTCACATGTACTTATAATGCCACACTGGCAAGCGTATTGGTTATATTCTGGGTCTGTGAACCAAGCAGTTGCTAGAGATGGGCTGGCAGGCTAGTATGGACTGAGGTAACATCAGCAGCAGGATGGTTTTGGTTTTGACTGCTGCCCTAAGGGAAATTCCTTAAAATGTTTCTTTTATATATTTACTGCAAGTCACAGTAGTCAGTTTTTTGCATGTTCAGTTATCAATGTGATGTTTTTGCATTTCACTCTGTTTCATATTTTTATGCAGTAAGATGAAGTATTGTGCTGCTGACAATATTTAAATAAAAGCCTGGGTGGCATTTTGAAATGAAAATGAGAAGATTTTTTTTCAATTTAAGTTAGCATGAGACAAGAACATGAGTCCCTACTCTTTCAAGGAATTTAGGGAGTTGGCAGTGATGTGGCTGTAGTAGTAGTATGCCACAGTTACCTTTTGACAGCTTAATTAGTATTATGCAAATATTTTCTGTGACTTTTTGATCAAGCTGCATTTGAGGTGAAAAATCTTATAGCAGGGACAGGAAAACTTTGTACAAAGTGTAGCTTTAACACCACTTTGACTCCAAACTTCTAAAGCTAATTGTCTTTTTATTTTGCTTCGTAAACATACACATTTCACATAAAATCCGTAATAAGAGAGAACTTGTGGCAAATACTGTGACCTTCAGTAAACTGTGGAAAGATACCCCTTCTAATCAAAGGCAAAAGCCATGATCTTCCTTGTTGTAACTGACTGTTGACACAAGAAAGGCCAGGCAGATTGACATCCATCTCTATAGAAACCATTAACCAATGCCGGGTAAATCCAGAGCATTGAATCCATATGCATGCTTGCTTTTATTATTCCTGACCTATTGGCAAACTTCTGCATTTTGTGGGCTTTGTTTTAAAGGACGCTTTAAATTGCAGATAGTTATTATGTGATTTCATCGGTGAAATAAATAGTTTTGGTTGTCTAAATAAAGAAATCGGTATTATTTTGCATCTACTAAGCATTATTTGCTTAGGTGTGGCTTGGTTTGGGTCCAGATTAGCACACAATGAGGACTGTTACTTTAGCTGGGTGTAGCAAAACCAAGTAGTTTTGTTCATGTTTTCCAAATGATGTGCAAGTAATGTGTCATTTGAGTCTAACCGGGCTTTTACTGGCCTACGGTCTCTTTCTACTCTGTAAAGCATTAACAATTACTTTGTTGGCTGCAAAAACATATGCTTTTAAGAGTCCCAATGATGCTCGAAACTCACATCAGTCATAACTTCAGAACAATTGCCAGTCCTGTAGCAAGACCAGGCGCTGTTAATCAAAGCCGCTGTATATTGAACACTGTTGCCTTAACTTTCCCTTGCTGAAATCTTATTACTAGTTGTGGAGTGCAAGGAAACAAAAATGCTTTTCATTTCACTCTGTGCTGTACATTTTCCAGTTTGGGTGACTAAAGCTGGCGAGGATGCCTATTTTTGGAAAGAGGAATTAAGATACTTTGGAGAAAGTAGTGCACTGTGTGCTGACATTCCAGATGTCCAAACTATAGTAGTACCAGCCCAAGTTTTTGAGCCTTTCATGCCAATGATGACCTCATGAGGTCCAGCCTGGAGAAATAGAGACATAGTTCTTCAACAATGTTCAAGAATGGCTCCTTCCTTTCATATTTCTATTCAGTGATCTCCAGTGTCCTTCTCTTTTCCTGTCTCTGACAAAATTAGCTCTTTATAATTAACAATTGTTAGTTTTTTGGCTTGTCTTTTAGACTTTTCTTAGAGTCTCTTTCACCCAATCTACGTATTGTATCCTCGCTC